GAGTAGGTAAAGAAATTAAAATACTGAGATACAGGAGCTGGTCAGTCTCTAATAGTAAGAGATGAAATTATTTGCAGTCCTTCCGAAATATTGCCCGAGGGACAGTGATAATCTGTGGAATAAATGGAGAGAGAATTAGTGTTCCCCTGTGTAAGATAAGGCGAGAAAGTCCAATCAAGACTGGGAAAGTGACAGTGGGAGCAATTGAAAAATTGGCTATTCCAGGAATACAGTTTATTCTTGGAAACAATATAGTTCAATCACAACTTGGAGACAAAAAGGGCTGCAAATGCTGGAAGCTAGAGTCAAAAAATGTGGAGCTGGAAAAGCACAGCAGGTCGGACAATATCTGAGGAGCAGGAAAGTCAACGTTTCAGGTCAGAACCCTTCTTCAGGACCGGCGAGGGGTTTCAACCCAAGACATTGACTTTCCTGCTCCTCGGATGCTGCCTGACTTACCGTGCTTCTCCAGCTCCACATTTTTTGACTATAGCTCGATCACGGGTGTGAGTGATGACCAGACCAAAACCAAAAGAGAAACCAAAAGAAAACTGGGAAACTGAGGAGTTAAAAGGAAAATACCCTGGAATTTTTCTGGACTGTGTGGTGACAAGATCCCACAGCCATAAGTTAAAACAAAGAGGGAAAACAAAAGAGAAAGATGAAAGAGTTGAGGTCCAGTTAGCGGACACTCTGATGAAATGGTAAAGGATAAACCTTACCAGGTAGAGGATGAGGCAGAGGTATTTAGTTCTGAAAGATTAGTGGAATTATAACAAAAAGATGAGACGATAAAGGATTTATATCATAAAGCCTACTCGAAAAAGGAATCAGAATGTATTCCAGAATGTTACTACCTTAAGGATAAAATCTTAAGGTGGAAATGGAGACCTTGGCAGGTTAGTGCAGACGAGAAATGGGTGAAGTTCACCAGATTGTGTTGCCAGTAGAATACAGACAGAAAGTATTGTGGGGGGCACACAAATTACCTGTAAGAGGTCATCTAGGAGTGAGGAAGACTCAGGCTAAGATACAGAAAGATTTCTGTTGGCCTGGATTAGATAAAGATGTAGTTGAATTTTGCTGTACCTGTCATACATGTCAGATGGTAGGAAAGCCACAGGCAGTAATAAAATCAGTGCCTTTGATCCCAGTTCCTGCATTTGAAGAACCTTTCATGCAGGTTATGATTGATTGCGTAGGTCCCCTCCCTAAAACCAAAAGAGGGAACCAGTATTTGCTAACCGTAATGAATGTGTCTGCCAGGTTTCCGGAGGCAATTCTATTGTGGAATGTCAAGGCAAGAAAGGTCATGGAGGAGTTGTTTGCTTTCTTTATCCGTTATGGAATATCCAGGGAGATTCAGTCAAACCAAGGGTCCAATTTTACTGCCAAATTATTTAAGGAGGTCATGAATAGTTTAGGTATCAAACACTTTAAATCAAGTGCGTACCACCCTGAATCCCAGGGAGCACTTGAAAGGTGACATCAAACCCTAAAGACCATGCTGAGGGCTTATTGCCAGGATTACCCAAATGATTTGAATAAAGATATCCCATTTATATTATTTGCTACTAGAGATGCTCCAAATGAACCAACTGAGTTTACTCCATTTGAATTGATATTCGGCCACCAAATAAGAGGGCCTTTAAAATTATTTTAGGGAAAAACTTGTAGGTCTGAAGTTGGAGATCTCACAGTTGATGGATCTGAGATGAGAGAAAGATTAAACAGGGTAGGTGAATGAGCTGGACAATATTTGAAAGTGGCACAACACCTAATGAAGCAAGAAGCAGATAAGAAATCTAAAATTCATATGTTTGCCTGTGGGGATAAAGTATTAGTGCTGTTACCAGTGGTAGGAGATCCCTTCAAAGCAATGTTTAGTGGTCCCTTTCAGATTGAGAAGAAGTTAAGTAAGGTGAATTATCTGGTAAAGATGCCAGAGAGGAAAGAAACTTAGCGGGTATGTCATGTGAACATGCTGAAACTTTACTAAAACAGGTATTGGTTACTGCCACTCAGAGTGAGGAATCAAATTCAGATGATGTAGACTTTGATGTGCCTCAGAATAAATTGAATAATGAGGACATCCTTAAGGAATGGGGTAAGGTTGTGAGCTGTCTGTCCCAGGAATAGCAAGCTGAATTGAAAGACTTTTTCCAGTGCTACGAGACATATGTAGAAATTGAATGGGGAGGACTAAAACAATAGTGCATGAAGATGATGTAGGGAATGTTGTTCCAATAAAACAACACCCATACAGGCTTAATCCTTTCAAAGCAGAACCGGTTCAGAAGGAAGTAGAAGCGATGCTCTAAGAAGACATCATAGAGCCGAGTCAAAGCGAGTTGAGTTCACCGATCATTTTGGTTCCCAAACCTGATGGTATTTAATGATTCTGCACAGATTATTGAAAGGTCAATGCCGTGATCAAATCTGACTCATACCCAATTCCAAGTCTGAAAGACTCTGTGGTAAATGTAGAACAAGCCACTTGCATCATAAAGTTGGACTTATTTCACGGTTACTGGCAAGTACCTTTGTCGGAGAGAGTGAAAAAAGTTTCTGTTTTTGTAATCCCAAATGGGCCATATCAATTTAAAGTAACGACCTTTGAAATGAAAAATGCACCAGCCACTTTTCAAAGACTTATGAACAGAACAGAATTGTTGCAGGATTGACTAATTGTGCCGTCTACACAGATGACTTCGTGATCTTTAGCCATTCATGGAAAGATCACATAGAGCATTTGGCAGAGCTCTTTGAGAGACTATGGGAGACAAAGTTGGTCATAAACTTGGCAAAAACAGAATTCGCAAAGGTGGAAGTGACGTTCTTAGGGCACAACATTGGACATGGACGGATGACACCTAGGAACATGAAGAAGGCCATCGAGGAATTTCTAAGACTATCCTCGAAGAAGGAAGTTCTACAATTTTTTAGGATTAAGCGGATTCTACAGGAAATTTGTACCAAACTTTAGTAGCGTAGTGGCACCGTTGACAGATTTGTTTAAAAAGAACACAACATTTCGGTGAACAGAACAATGCCAGGAGGCATTTGAGAATTTAAAAACAGTGTTAATCACCACACCAGTTTTAGCCATGACAAATTTCTTGAAACCTTTTAAAGTCGCCTTCGATGCAAGCGATGTAGGTGTTGGAGCTGTGTTGTTACAGGAGGGTGATTGTGGAATTGAAAAGCCAATTGCTTATTTTTCAAAAAACTCAATATCCACCAGAAAAGATATTCAACCATTTAAAAAGAGTTATTGAGTTTGGTACTAGCCTGACAATATTTTGATGTTTAGGTTGCAAGCAATGCATCAGAGATGGTTATGTATACTGATCATAGTCCTTTGACATTTCTGGAAAGATTTAAGGACAAGAACACCAGATTATTTTGTTGGAGTCTCATGTTACAAGCATTCAATTTACAGATTTTGCATGTTGCGGGTGATGATAATGTTATTGCAGGTGCTTTATTGCGGTTTTAAAATAAAAATGTTTATATAAGATAGAAATGGTAGCATTCAATGTAATACATAAATGGAATTAGTATAAAATATGTAACTCTAGATTAATGAGCTATAGATCTAGTAACATAATGTAATAATATAATGCCGTATAATGTAGTAATCTAGGAATAAGGTTTTAGAGTAAAAGTTTTTAAAACGAAGCCATCTTTTCACAATGATGGTTCATTTTTGTTTTCTTAAGGGGGAAGGTGTTGCAAAGTTGGGCAAAGTATTTGTGGATTAGGAGGTAGGAAGTTAGAATTTGGCGTTTGTAAAATATTGGTGTTTGTAAAATGCTAGGGGGAATGCAATGCAAAAAAACAGATGATGTGCTTTTTCTAAGTTCAGAGATTCAAAAAGGATATCTGTGGACAGCAGCTTGTGGGTTCGAAGGTGCACAGAGAGCACCTGAATTGAAATATTTGTATCAGAAGGCCATACAGTTAGCAGGCCAAGCAGCAGTTTTGTTTTGTTACCAAGACAACAAGTATTGAATTTAGCCAATCAATTTGAAACAGGCACCCAGATACCAAAAAACAACTAAATTTAAATCTGATGGTTTTGACAACATATGACCAATCCTGTTATAAGAAATATTGATATGTCATCAATTGTATAAAAGAAGAGGGCAGTGGGCAAAGACAGGAAGGTGAACTGCCATCCGCGAGAGTTAACAGCTCTCAGTTCTTAGAGAAAGCACCATCTATTCACAACAGTACCACGACACTCCTAGCTAAGATTCCTGACAGAAGAATTCACGGAGAAAGCATTCCTGACAGAACATTTGATGGAGAAGGCACAGAGCATTCCGGAAGACATGTAATCTGGCTATAATTTTGAGAGACTAAATTCATTTTTGTATATATAACTGGGACTTGTATTTACTGGAACAGCATACTATTAGAATCTTGTTTTATTCGAGAATATTTGTAGTTGTAAGGGCTTTATTCAGTTTGTTAATAGTTTAGTTAATTTGTTCACTGTTAGATTTAGATAAACAAATTGTTACTTGAGGAATGCAAAGTGAGTATCAAGAATTTGTTTTATTTAACCACTAGAAGTTGATGAAAGGCAGGTTACATGACTTTTCACACTTCTTCTACAGATTATAGCGTGAGGTGCCCTTCTTTGGGTGTTTTGGTTTTAGTTCTCAGAGTGGGGTGGTTCAACCTCCACTTTATAGCAGATATTCACACTGTTTATACTTTCTTCAGTGAAATATCAAAACAACAGGGTTTAAAATTTTAGTGAAGTCTTAATTAAACAGATATAAAATGAAAATGTAGACCCAGTCAGAAATTTGCTTGGATGTTCTTCAAAAACCTTGTGTTATCAATGTGTTTGTTATGTCAGGTGTGTCTTGCTTTCAAATAATTTCCTTCCATTTTTCTGCTTCTAGCAAGATGACTGAGGCATAAAGATGTCACACACTTCTTTTCAAGGGTAATTGCTGGGTCTCACAGATATCTTGTTTCTGCAGGTCTCCACCACGGCCAAGTCCCGGTAGCCTCCATTATTCAGACGAGGATGTCAGCACAAAATATAATGACCTAATCCCAGCAGAGAGCAGCAGTTTGACCGAGAAACCCTCCCTATCAGACTCTCAGGTAAGCATCAATCTTTCAGGAATGCCATGTTCCCCAAGATTGCCAGAGTAAGCATGGAAATGTAAAATCATGATCCATACTGCACTCACTGTCAGAGGACAGGCTTTTCCCAATTTCATCAGTTGTATTCACATCAGTAAGTAAGTTTCCAAAGGCAGGACAAATATTCTGTGAATCAAAATCTGTGTACCATGAAGGGCAGAGCATCCATATGGCAGACAAGTGCACTTTGACTATAGAAACTCATAGATCATAAAGAAAACTTGTAATGTTCCCTAGCTACTCAGAAATGATAAATATAATAGTAAAGTAATTAGTAAAGTGCTTTCAGATTAATAGGCTAGATGTAAGAAAAATTTATTCAAGAAGCAATAGTACAGAGTACACAATACTACACTCAAAGTGTTCCAAAATTCCTATGGTATTTTCAGTAGCTCCTGACTGAATCTTTGTAACACGTCACATTACAGATAAATTTAGTCCTGGTTGAGGCAGTATGAAACATGTAACTAGGAATCATACAGCTCTTCAATCACTTTTTTTATGATTAGATGTTACATTAGCTTCAACTGGTCAAAGAATTTGCTCTCAATGAGCAGTCTATTAAGTATAATTAATTTTTACTCAAGTAAATATAGTCTGAACTGTCATCACTTGACCACTCAATGGTTTGCTTGTTTTTCATACCTCATTGTAAGTGAAGTCATGGCTTTCTGAATGATGAGACCTGAAGGTAACATGATTCCTATTGTTTATTGAAGGAGCAATAACTTAATTAGCTTGAATTCATACGCTATTGGTGTTTTGGCTCAAATTGTCTAACTGTGACTTTCTTACACTATCATAAATCTTTGAGTAAAATTATCCAGTGAGTAGCTAAGCTTTTATAGACCAGAAAAGTGTCAGATTTGATCTTCATTCTGCATTGAGTTAATTTCAGCTAAACAATGATAGAGATCCTTATAATGTACCTCCCAGTGCCCTGTTTCTCCGTGCTGTCCAATACCCTTGTGGGAAAAATAATAGCTTACCAATGCTCATATATGAAGCCTTAAACATGAATAATAGATGCCTGGGTAGGGGAGCACAGGGACTCTGTGACTTCATAATCCAGAAAAAGTGTTGACAATTTCCAACAGGAGGCAACAGTGGTAAATTATGGAAAAAAAGTAAAATAATAGATTTTGTTATTATTATTTTGTTTATTAAAAGTAATATGTCCAGAGCTAGTTGCTGCAGGTGGTGGGCAATGGTCAGTCCATTGTGTCCATCCAGAGAAGCTAGAAGGTGAGAGGGACAGGAGGGCCAGGGGGCCACTGCTGCAGGAAGGAGACTAGGTAACCTATTCATGAGGTTTGGTGGCTGTAGGTTGTGGGAAGATCGATAACTGTGAAGTGAGCTGCTGTATTTATATGGGAAGATTATGTTAAAAGCATGGATGGGAACAGAGTAATGTGGGAGAGGGGTTTGTCCATGATCAGGAGCACTTCAGTTGTGGGGGTAATAGTATATGATGTCACAACTCACTGGGATAGTGCTATTCCTAGAATCAATACAAAAGTTAAAGGTTTTAAAATAAGTACACAATAATTCCCCTATTTATCTGATTGTCAAACCAAGGCTGATAGAAAGCATGGACCAGGCTTCTGTACGTAAGAAAAATTACTATTTATTGCAAGTAATTAGACTCTAGTCACAGAGTCCCTCTGCCCTCCTACCCAAGCATCTATTATTCATGTTTAAGGCTTCATATATAAGCATTGGCAAGCTGTTATTTTTCCCACAAGAGTATATGGTAAATGGTGATAAACCATCAGCATAAAACAGTACAAATTAAATCTCTAATGCCCTTACAAACACACACACACACACACTCACACACAGAACAATAAGTTACGAGTGAAGGATACTTGGAAGGTAGTTTATTTGCTGAAATAATCATTATCCTGGTGAGAAGGTGGCTTCTCAGTCATCTTTTTCCAGATGCTTCTAAGCCACACAAGGTGGTCGGGTTCATTTATGAAAGGTCAATGACTTAATTTACTGTTATAGCAAAGATGAATTCATTTTCTTCAGATGTAAAATTGTGTTTGACTGCAACAAACGTAGACAGCTGTTGTGTTGGTGATCAATTTACCTCCCTGTCTTGTTCCCAGCCTCAAGCTATTCAGTTACCCAAGAACCAATTACAACATTGTTGGTGGCAAAAGGCTTTTAATATTGATAAGTGGTCACTAATCCATAAACCAATCAACCTCTTGTTTCCACCCAACAGCTGCATCTGTACCCGATCCCTTTGCTCCAGTTCATTTGCAAACCAAACTTCAGTGGCTGCTGATTCAAATAGCTGTTCACACGCTGTTTACAATGAGTATCAGCAATTCTTTAAATCTGTCTGTTAAAATAGTACCTTCTCATTTGAGTCCACAGTTGTAAAAAGCATAAAAATAATATAACATGGTCTTTACAATGACCACACTTTGTGGTCACCTCATATGCTAAGGGCTGGGATGGGGAATGGGGGGTGGGGAGTGGGGAGTGGGAAGATGGGCAGGTGGGCAGGTGGGCAGGTGGGCAGGTGCAGACTTATATAGACATGTTGTGTGGGGACCTGGGATGGTGTGAAGCCTATGAGGTTCATAGGAAGGGGATCCAGATTTCTAGGGCCTCACTAATTTGTGAATGCAGAGGCTGGAAACCACTGCCCAAAAAGTGATCACTGACAGCTTTCATCATGCTGGAAATCTGAAGTACATAGTAGGTAAGAAAATGGCTGCGACTATACCTTGTGCAGGCAGGGGAAGTATCTTGACCTGGAAGGTAAGGTGCTACAGAAACCAGTGATGTGAGGCCCTTTAGAGGGCAACAAAATTACACACAGACAAGCACTGTTCAGGACACAGAACTGTGGGCTCCCTACTCCTGATGGATCTTAATGCATTGGCTCCCTGTGTGCTGTACCCCCTGCCCCACACATTGCTAACCATTTCATTCAGCACCAGCACTTTTGCATTCAGGATAAGGGAAAAATTAGGAATGTTTGACAAGAGAGACAATGGTGCCAGTAGAATCCACTGTCCTGTTCATTTTGCTTCCATTTGCTACAGCAAACTGTCAACATAGAATAAATCCATGGTACATCTGTATTGACATTAGGCATTATGCTGGCATAGTTACAGTACAAGCTGACCAAGGACTCAAACAAGGAGATGTACTGTGAAACCAATAACATTCATACAAATGTGATACCTTATATACAGTGCACTGCTACCCATGCCACCAATGTCCCCTCCAAAGGTTTTTCTCTTTCCTTCCCTCCAGCTACATTTCAGTGTTGTCCCACGTTCCACAACGGGGGTGCAAGTGGTCTACTCAGCAGTGGAGCCTGTTGGCCTCGGAGGTTTGTTCAAGCATTTGTGTCTGGACAGCCCAAGCATGCTGAGGGTCTTCTTGCTGGAAGCTTGAAGCCCTCCTGGCTTGAACTTTCAAGAGCCCTAATGGCATTGCTGCACTCCTGCAACCTCTGTGCGATGAGTGCAACTGCCTCCCACATACCTGTCTTGATATTTCAGTTCCTCCTTGTGTGTTTGGATGAAGTCCCTGCTTGCCAATACCACAGGGTTGACTCCTGCCTGGGACTGAGCAGGCACCTAGTATTCAGTGGTCCTTAGTGTGCCAGCAACCATTCTTGACCAGCTGAGAAGCTGTCACAGTGGGGTGCTCATCTGCTTGTACTCCTGAACTTTCTAAACATGACATTCCCACCAGGGTGTCAAATCTGAGCTTATGATGGTGCTGAAGGCTGCCAGCCAATGCTCCTTTTGAGGCCTCAGAATGTTCTTCCTCAGAGGTCAAGCATGTGTTTTCTGGCATAGCTGGCTATGTCTAGGCAGGGGCAGCAGACTCCTGCTGATATCTGCAAAGCACAAGGGAGAGAAAGCGTCATGGCAAATGGTTAAGTGCTGTGCAATGAATGGCACTGACAGCGGGATTAATCTGAGAGTTACAGTGTAATGAAGAGTGGTACTCACTCTGTTGATGCCTCGGCATCCCCACAGGAATGTTCGCAGTCGTCTTGCGCAAGGGACAGAATTCTTTCCTCAGTGTGAGAGGAGCTCAATGTCAAGCCCCTCTTCACCCATTTTGACTCTTTCTGCCCTGTTGTGGGCTGTTTTCTTCTGAAATGAGAAAAAGGGAGGGATTGAGCGAGTTGAAAGTGGTGACTCAGCTGTTTGTACTGTTGTTAGTAATTGAAAGTTAGTGAGTAGGTAGTACAGAGGCCATGCAGCGATAGCAGTGTGGGAGGTTTGAAGGAAACAAGAGCAAATGATGGAAGATGTTGCAGGCAACAGTGAGAGTGGTAAAGCATGAATCTTGATGGTGGGTGCAGTTGACAATGAGTGAGTGTGAGGTCACACCAAGAGTCTGGAACTTACCCTGCTAGAACAGAGAAGATTACTGACATTCTTGCAGCATTATTCCGGACCATGAGGATCGCAGTGACATAAGTGGTGATCTAGTACTAGCCAGCCAGGGTCTGGTATCATTGGCTTCCTCTGCCGGTCCTCCAGGAAAAGGACAGTCCTCCTCTGCACCACCCCATCCACCAGAATCTCCATGTTCTTGTCGGAGAATTGTTTTCCCTTTCTCCAACATATTTAGACTGACTATTCATCACCAATCAGGGCAGCTTTGGAATGTCAGTGCTTCTGGGTGCAGAGTGGCACAAGCATCAGAGATCTTCCAGCACACATCTGATGAGTGGCAAGTTGATCTGGAAACAGTGAGTGGTAGGATGGGACTAGAAATGAGCAAGAGGGGCACCACTGGGGTAGCGTATTTAGTTAACGTGATGAGTTTGGGGAGATACTGCAAGAGTTCCCATTAGGCCTCACAGTGGGAACCCAACATGAATCTTGACAAAATTGATGTATATCCAAGAAAAATGTAAAGTTGACACCACAGTTTTCTTTCATATAAGGATTTCTGACGCAATAAAA